CTGGAAGTGCTCAAGGTCAGGCTGGACGGAGCTCTGAGCAACCTTGTCTAGTGGAAGATGTCCCTGCTCATGGCAGGAAGGTTGGAGCCAGATGATCTTTAAGGTCCCTTCCAGCCCAAACCATTCTATGATTCTATGATTCAATGATTTGAGGCGTGGCCTCACCAGTGCTGAGTACAGGGAGAAGGTCAGTTCCCTACTCCTGCTGGCCACACTATTTCTGATAGGAGCCAGGATGCTATTTGCTTTCTTTAAGATACACTTTGATGGTCTCCAACGACATTTTATTTGGAATCTAGGCTATTTCTAAAAAAGTAAAAACCACCAAAAAATATATATTTTTTGGGGGGAAGAGAGATATGGGAATAGTTTAATTATTTATTATCATGTAACCTGAAATAATGTATTTCTTCACGTATTGGTGACCAAATATGTGTAAAATCTATTATTTAAGTTATTATAATTGTTGATTATGTATTTGTGACTTGGGAAAAACAAGCCACTTCCATGAATAATTACTAATAAAGTATTACAAAACAACATTTTATAAAAATTTGCATAAAATAGTGATGAGAATATGAAATAGTAAGAAAACAATTACACAACAATGCTAATCCCTAACACCTTCCTATCCAGATATTTATGCAATAATATTGTTTGCCATGGTGAATATTACCTATTTGTCTTTGAGAGGGCAGTGCCTCATCCAATTCAACATAACTGCACTGGGTTCTACCGGATACTAAGTTGCCCATTTTCTCACTGTGATGTGCTATCAGAACTGAAATAGTTGAAAAAAAAAAAATCTTTGGTTAAGTGTTGTTTTAAAAAAATCTCTAGAGAACCATCAGTTTTGTATTTGATTTTTAGTTCCCTCATAACAAAAAAATGTGGAATGCAATTTAGGTATATTACTAGACTGTATTGTTTGAACAGCGTCAGCTTAAATGGCAAAAACCAACAAATTCCCTAACAAAGATTCTAATACTTAATGCTCTGTTATTAGAAAAAATTTGGTGATGAAAAAATGACAAAATAAAGACCACATTGAAATTGTTACAATAATATATCTGCTTAATTTTTATGTAAATGTAACCATAAAATGTTGATGTTGCCATTAATATATTTGACTGTAATATAGAATATATTTACTCTGAATTTTTGCAACAGTATTTATACTATCTGTGGGTGACTACTACCACTAATTTTTTTAAAAAAATAAATTTATGGGAAATCACATACCTTCTATGTAATTAAATAAGAACTTACCTCGAATTTGTCTTATTTCTACTGCAGTTGCACCTCAAAGTATTATGCTTTAAGGTGGGGTGATTTGCCATCTTTTGCTGAATCTACTAAAGTAGAAACAAAAGATGGTTGGGCTCATTTATTCACTACGGAGAAACAGGCACTATTATGTATTTTTCTATTCCCATCAACAAATAACACTAAATAGTGTAAAAAATGGTAGTTAAACTGCTATAATAGAAAAATTTACAGGAATATATAACACTCACCTTTGTAAACAGAAAATTACGGTGTTTGGTTTGATTCAAATAAACATTTTTTTCCCCCAAGTATTTTTGGATATTCCTTGCTATGCTGGCATTAGATTGTGATTTGCAGTAGCACGTAGAGTCCAAGATTTATTTTTGCTTTTGCCTTCATACTGTGATGATCCATTTAAGACAATCTTGATAAGGATGTTGTATTGTTCCAAGACAATTTCAGATGTTCTAAGCAGTATTAAAACAATTAAGATAAAGAAGTAGTATTTCAAAGTTTCAGTTCAGAATTCAAAAAACAAAATGCTAATTTTATGAAGCATGACTTTTTTTCTTTTATTAGATGAACCAAAACAACCAAAGGGCTTTATAATTCTTAGGCATTAAGTCATCAAATTAACTTCATATTGAAATACAGTATTATACTCATTTTTGGATTATAAAAATTCTAGTGTTTTTTAATTTTACCAGTAGTGAGCATGATTAAAACAAAATTCATAAAATTATATATGCCGAAGCCTTAATTACAGAAGATGGTTTTCCACTACAGGAAAAATCTTAGTAAAGAGAAAAGCAATTATTTGAAAATTATATCTAGCTTTGCATTTGCTGCAAGTACTATTTTAAATGTTATCTTTCTTCAGCTGTCTTACTCATAACTGCAACATTTTGTTCTCTCGTCTACTAACTACAGAAGTGGAATTTTTTTCCAAATTTTAACCTTCAGAGAGAGAAAAACATACAGCTTTAAATGCTTAAGAATGCAATGCACTATTTAAAACTATTTAGAAATAAATAGAGGACAATTTTTTGAGACATCAGTTGTGAAATCTATATATCCAAATACAGAAAAGTAAAACATTAAAGTCTTTGTTCTACATCTTATCTAGCTTCTCTATATATTCAATGGAGGTAAAGTAAGTTATCTCAAGAGTGAGTCATAGGAGCTGACTTGCGATTAAATTACCATCTGCAGATATCTACATTTTTCTTACATATATTAGGAGAGATACTTGCTGTTCAGATTTTTAACTTTTCAAGATCAACAAAGATATCAATGCTCTGTCTAAACAAAAAGAAAAGAAAATGAAACAAAATAAAACAAAAGATAACAAAGAAAGTTTGTGTTTCAGATCAATGTTATCTGAGTGCAAACAATTTGATCTGTTATGGTGAAATGTTTTCGATCAAGATTAATATGGAACAAAATGTTCAATGTCATGACAGCTGAATGCGCACTGTCCCTCAGTTTCTTCCCTCTTCATTGCAGGCTATTTCGCTGAATTATTAATTTAATTATACAAAGCACTGGGCTTAGACTCTAACAGCAAGCCTTTCAGGATGATTTGCAGGTTCATAAGAATAACAAGATTTCAGCAGGTTCCTCTGAACAACGATCCTGATTATATTTTACCTAAATTTCCTCCCAGCATTCACCACCACTCCCATATCTAGATAATTTCTTTGCACAGATTTTCCATGTATGTGTTTTCTGTCATTCATCTTCATCTTCTCAGGTTCTTACTTTCTCTGTAAAATTGGCTTGCTTCTTTTCAATCCACTTTCTCCTTCATCTTTGGCAAATTGTTCTCAACTTCTCACCAGAAAATTCTTCCACTATTAATCAACGCCTACATTATTATTATTCTGGGAAGAGGTCTTGAACTTATGGCTGATGTTACAGGGTAATTTATTGAAATGATGCTTAAGTATTTAAAAGTGCCTAAGATATACCTTCTAATCACAATCCTCTAGTATCTTTTTACTTTCAGTTTCTTGCCTTGACAGATCCGAACTACTTCTACTTCACTGACTATCACTGAATTTAATTCTTTTGTTGCTACCATTTGTCTATTGTATCATAAAAGCATTATGATACTCCCCTACTTCTGATTTTACTCATGGTTTCCTATCTGTCTGGTTGAAGTATTAATGCAACAGAACTTGATCATTCTCAACCATTGTTAATAATTCAGACAGAAATGCAAGTCATCTATCATTAAATATCTTAAAATTCAGCCACACTGGATTTAGGCATATAATCTAAAATATGTGTAAGCTACAGCTATCGACAATACAGAAAAATTATCATCTTCAAGAAGTGTTATTTTCTCTACTGCCGTTGCCTGGATTTTTTTTTTAATGCCCTATCCCTTTTATCACCCCAGGTAATTGTTGACTGTATTTCCTTTTTAAGAGAAATTTTTAATCTTCAGCAATATATTTAATTTTTAACTTTCTTTAATTTTGGAGCATAAATATCTTACAAAAGCTAAAAAAGGCTTTGTTTTAAGCTTGTAAGTATATCATTTGGGTTGGAAGGGTCATTATAGATCATCTAGTTCCACCCCTCCTGCCACGGGGAGGAAAATCAGATTGTTCAAAGCCCCATCCAACCTGGCCTTGAACACTTCCAGGGAGGGGGCATCCACAGCTTCCTCTGGGCAGCCAATTCCAGTGCCTCACCACCCAAATAATGAAGAATTTCTCCTTATATCTAATCAAAATCTCCCTCCTTTCAGTTTGAAGCCATTACTCCTAGTCCTATCACTACATGCCCTGCTAAAAAGTCCCTCTCCAACTTTCTTGTAGGTCCCCTTCAGATACCTGAAGACCGCTACAAGGTCTTCCCACAGCCTTCTCTTCTCCAGGGTGAACAACCCCAACTCTGTCAGCCTTGCCTCATAGAATAGGTGTTTTATCCCTTTCATAATTTTTGTGGTCCCCCTCTGGACCCACTCCAACAGGTCCATGTCTTGTTTGTACTGGGTACCCCAGAGCTGGACGCTCTACTCCAGGTGGAGTCACAGAATCACAGAATCACAGCATGTTAGGGTTGGAAGGGACCTCTGTGAGTCATCCAGTCCACCCTCCTGCCAAAGCAGGGTCACCTGCAGCAGGTCACACCAGAGCAGAGGGGCAGAATCACCTTCAGTGAACTGCTGACCACGCTTCTATTTATGCAGCCCAGGATATGATTGGCTTTCTGGGCTTTGAGCGCACTTTGTTGGGTCATGTTCAGTTTCTGGTCAACCAGCACCTCCAAGTCCACCTCAGGGTTGCTCTCAATCCATTCTCCACCCAGCCTGTATTTGCGCTTGGGGTTGCCCTGACCCAGGTGTAGGACCTTGCACTTGGCTTTGCTCAACTTCATGAGGTTTGAATGGGCCTACCTCTCAAGTGTGTCAAGGTCCATCTGGATGGCATCCCTTCCCTTCAGCGTGTCGACTGCACCACACAGCGTGGTGTCACCAGCAAACTTGCTGAGGGTACACTCAATCCCACTGTCCATGCCACCAACAAAATTAACCACATTGGTCCTAATACTGACCCTTGAGGAATGCCATTCATCACTAGTGTCCACTTGGACATCAAGCGACTAACTGCAACTCTTTGAGTGTGACTACCCAGCCAGTTCCTTATCCACCGAGTGGTCCATCCACTAAATCCATGACTCTCCATTTTAGAGATAACAATGTCATGCAAGAACAGTGTCTAGTCCTTTGCAGAAGTCCAGGTAGACAATGTCAGTTGCTCTTCTTTATCCTTCAACTCTGTAGCACCATAGTAGAAGACCACCAGATTTGTCAGGCATGATTTGTCCTTAGTGAATCCATTTCCATGTGCCTTATTATCACTTTCAGGATGATCTGCTCCATGATCTTGGTGGGCACAGAGGTGAGACTGACTGTCCTGTAGTTCCCCGGGTCTTCCTTTTTTCCCTTTTAAAAATGGGAGTTATGTTTCCGCTTTTCCAGTCACTGGGAACTTCACTGGACTGCTACGACTTCTAAAATATGATGGAGAGTAGCTTAGCAACTTCATCCGCCTGTTCCTTTAGGACACACAGAGGCAGGCACCTCACCAGGTCCCGTGGACTTGTGCACTTTCAGATTCCTTAGATGGTCTTGAACCAGATCTTCTCCTACAGTGGGCATTTCTTCATTCTCCCAATCCTTGCTTTTGACATCTGCAACTTGGGAGGTGTGGCTGGAGCACTTGCCAGTGAAGACTGAGGCCAAAAAGTCAGTGAGTACCTCAGACTTTGGTATATCCCAGGTGACCAGGTCTCCTGTTTCCTTCCGGAGAGGGACCACATTTTTCCTTGCCTTCCTTTTATCACTGATGTAACTACAGAAGCTTTTCTTGTTGCCCTTGATGTCCCTGGCCATATTTAATTCTATCAGGGCTTCAGCTTCCCTAACCTGATCCCCGACTGCTTGGATAATTCCATTGTATTACTCCCAGGTTATCTGTCCTTGCTTCCACCCTCTGCAGGCCTCTTATTGTGCTTGAGTTTGTCCAGGAGCTCCTTGTTCATGCAAGCAGGCCTCCTGGCATTTTTGTCTGGCTTCTTTGTTGGGATGCTTTACTCCTGAGCTTGGAGGAGGTGGTCCTTGAATATTAACCAGCTTTCTTGGGCCCCTCTTCCCTCCAGTGCTTTATTCCATGGTTGTCTAGCAAGCGGATCCCTGAATACGCCAAAGTCTGCTCTCCTGAAGTACAGGACAGTGAGCTTTCTGTGCACCCTTCCTGCTACCCTGAGGATTTTGAACTCCACCGTTTCGTGATCACTGCAGCCAAGGCTGCTCTTGAGCTTCACATTCCCCACCAGCCCCTCCTTGTTGGTGAGAACAAGATTCAGCATAGCACCTCTCCTCGTTGACTCCTTGATCACTTGGAGAAGGAAGTTATCAATGCAGTCCAGAAACCTCCTGGATTGCTTTTGCCCTGCTGTGTTGTCCCTCCAACAAATATTGGGGTGATTGAAGTCCCCCATGAGGACCAGGGCTTCTGAACATGAGATTGCTCCTATCTGCCTATACAGGGCCTCATCCTCTCATTCTCCCTAGTCAGATGGCCTGTAGCAGACCCCCACTCTAATGTCACCTGTCTCTACCTTGCCTGACCCATAAGCTCTCTGTTGGCTCCTCATCCACCCCTAGGCAGAACTCCATGCACTCCAACTGGTCATTGACATAGAGGTCAACACCCTCTCCTTGTGCCTCCAGACTGTCCTTCTTGAAGAGCCTATATCCTTCCATTCCAACACTCCAGTCATATGTGCCCTCCCGCCACATCTCCACTCTTTCACAAAATACCTTCAAACCTTCAATTAGACAGAACAGATGTGTATAATATTTTTGATACTACAACCTCTGTAAACTGAATTTCGCTATAAATGTCTAAGGAAGAAAAATATGCAAACCAAGATGTCAAGATCCCAGACATAAAGTGGAGCATCTCCACTTTATTTTTATGAAAAGACTACAAAAACATCCAAAACTTCTGAAATAAGAAGTTTCAGTATACTTACGAATAGTTTAGCACCATTGCATATTATTTTGGTAAGACAGAAACGGAGTCACAGTGTTGGCATCTACACTTTTGCAGCATTCCAGGCAACATTTGATTTGCTTTGTTTAGTACTCCAGCTAGCAGTGCATGGGATGAAACCTGAAGCACATGAAGACCTTGTAGTAACTTCCATTGAACATACAAATGCAATCTGAGTGATCTGCAGTACATAGATACCTATGGCTGCAGTTCTGTAATACTGCATGTATTCAACAATTTTACAGATGATGTAGCTGTTATCAGCACAGATACCATTATGAATCTTATTTAGCAGCAGCTCTAACCTATCAGCCAGAAAGGATCATACAGATCAAAGGGATGTTCTGCGTGCTTCTTTTGATAAAAAGCAAAAACTATGGGGGCAAAAATATTGAACTGGTCAATCATCAATAGTTGTTCAAAGAATACCAGATTTTTACCTCTTTTCTTTCCTCAGAAAAATGGAGGTTCATTCTCCCTTTCTTACACTTTCCCAGCCTCATGTGTTATAAGTTTTCACAGCATATTGACACAGTGAAATTAATATATATGATGATACATGATGCCTGTGAAAATGACAAGCACACTGCTAGAGGGCCTTTACTGGAAAAGGCTGTGGGATAGGCATTATCCAAGCTTACATAAGTTGTTCTGAAGGTATCCTGAGGACTGTAAAGAGAAGTTATCAAAGGCAGCTCTAGAAGTTTCGGATAGGAATATAAATGGATTCCTCTAGTTTTTGGTGTGAACTTGTGTGGAGCTAACTCAATAGTGCAACAGAGATGTACTAGGGGATCAGAAAGTGGGGATCTGCACCTACCACTTCTGATATGTTTACCAATTATTAAAAAAAAAAAAGGGAGGAAAAAAACCCCAAACATCTTAAGCAGATTTCAGTTTATATTAAACACCAGTCACAATATAAGTATGGAAAATCAGTCTTGTCCATAGTGTTCTGAAGAGCCTAGAATGAAACTGTGTGTTTCTCCATCAGTATTTCGAATTGAAATGGATGCAGTTAGAGAAAGATGAAAAGCACTAACACCCACTCAGGTCACAGATGAGGGTATGGAACTAGTGGCTTACTGCTCAGATCACATTTCACACTTATCTATATTTGATGTGATTTAAATTATTAAAATGCAACAGAACTCATGCTCTGAGGGAGAAAATATGCTCAAGTGTTTATAATGAGTATATTTGTTCACAATTTATAAAACTGTGAAAAAGACCAATTTTCACTTCAACAAATGAAGTACATGGCCTAGCATGGGAAATTCCTAGATTAAAGAACTTGTGAAAAAATATTATCCACTTATAATATTAAAATGTACATCAAAATTACTTTTTACAACATTTGCATTAAAGTTAATGAACAATCTAATTTTGTAAATTCTAAATTTTATTTTGTACAGTTTTTAAATGCTGACGTATGATGTGCTGAATGCTGCTTCAGATGTGATACTGTAATAGCACTTTTTTCAAGGATGGGCAGAAAATTACAAAGCCAGTAATTCTTGAGGAAGATCCTTCATTATTTCACTTCTATTACAGGGAAAATTAAAGTAATTTAAATGATTAATACTTAGTAATTTGCTTCATAATATAAAATTACTTTCTTTAATAGGATTAGTAAACAATATTCATGCTACAAATCTTGATTCAGTGTGCCAAACTCACCCCTGACTCCTTGTTAATCCAATGAGATATTCTTTTCCTGGATCAACAACACTTAACTTTCCATTTAATATGGCAAAAATGCAGCTCTCAACATTTCTGGTTTTGTAGTCACCTGATGAATTTTGATTCCTTTTGAAGAAGAGACAATTAAAAAAACGGAATTAATTACCCTGACACTGCAGAAAGGTGTGGCAGCTAAGGTAAACAGAATGAGAATTTATTTGCTTTCTGTTCTCATTTTTTGGTAACTGAATGACTCATTGCTCTGACAAAAAAAAAAAAGATTACAGCATAGATAAAGGATTTTGCTCTTGTTTCCTGGAACTGTGAGATTCCGCCAGGTGATCACCACCTCTGCTATTAGTGTCTTTTGACCAGCATATGGATATGAATGAATGATGCTATTCTTCCCCTTTTCCTCTTATTCAATTTTTCCCTAGTATATCTCACTCTGATTTTAAAGCCAAGGGTGGAAAGTCAAACCAGTAAAATAAAATGGAAAGCTGACCAGCTAATCAATCATTTAGATGAAGTAATTGAAGACTCTTCTGAAGGCTTTGAATGTTGACTTAAACATCATAGAAAAATTGGACTGATTTTCAGAGGCTTTTTCTGAAGCTTTGAGATTACATGGATCTCATTTTTTTAAATTTGACAACCAATATTACCCAATCCCATTGTTGTTTGGTTTTATTTTTTTTAAATATAAATACCTGTCTCAAGATGTGTTTGTAGTTCTGGCAGTTCAACAGGTGTAAAAAGACGTGTTTGGGTGCTTGTCTTGTCTGTTTCTCTTTCCACCAGATTGAAGCTGTCCTAATTATTGTTTGACTTCTTTTTTTGTTGTTTTTTAATGGTAGGAAATATAAACCCTTATCATAACACAGATAATAGTCTAGATCCACGGTCTCCAAACTTTTTTGATCATCCACCTCTATCAGTGAAAACTTTTTGACCGCACCGTCCCCACAATATATGTATATTTATTTATAAATTATACATGTACTATGTACTACTGAAGTTCTAATATTTGCTTCCTAGACTCCAATGTTGTGCGTCATTGCATGTACTCCAGCTTGGAGACCACTGGTCTAGATGGGGGTGGAGAAGCAAATAAAATTTCTGTGAATGTAGCTTGACATTTATTCCACGAGCAGGGGAAAAAAAAAGACGAAAAAAACCAAACACCCCCCCACACTTGCTAACAGTTTTGCAATAGCTACAAATGGTTTATTTTACAATTTTATTATTTGCTTCTGGAAGAACCCCCTAAAATCCATTTCACATAATCAAGTCTTTCAGTTCTGTGTGAGAAGATGAGAAAGCCAATATAAACACCTTTTAGAATGCATCAATTAAATCTTGAAAAGACACATTTACTGTAGTTTATCACATTCCCATAGACAGGGCTTCATTGATAAACATTATCTGTTCTGCAGAAAACATAATCTTCGCTTCCATCTAGAAACATGATTGCTTTCCTTTTTTATACACAAAGCTTTTAACGTATTTCAGGAGATCTTCAGCAAAGTAATTTTAAAGTTAGAATGATTTCTTGTATTGGCATCCTAGCTAATAATGGCAATTTATACTTCTAAGATTATCAAGAATTCATTGATGAAAACAGTTCTGTCAGCTTCTGTTCCTCAAGCTCCTTGCAATTTCAGTAGAAGAGGTGACTATTGTTAACATCACTGTTCTTATTTTGTAGGGTTAGATTTATTAGTTCAGGTAACCACATTTTTAATGTATATGGTTTTGGCCAGAACTATAGATCTAATAACCAGGAGAGGAAAATAATCACTGTACTATAAAAAACTGAAATAATATTTAAATAAATTTATAAAAGAAAATCTGGGAAATGAAGTTACTATTAGGAAACAATAATTGTTCATTAATTTCTATACGTCTCAAATCTTTGATACATTACATGAAAACTACCATGGACATCTCTCGTATGTATTTAGGTTCATAATCACCAGTCTGTTCTTTGTGAGATTACATGTAATTCAGAATCTCAAAATGTTTTTTAAATGTATTTTTGCTAATGGATATTTTATCACAATCATGGCTGATAACATGTCAGGCTTCATAAAGTCCTTTCAGACTATCAAACATAAGTCAAAGTTAGTACTGAAATATTTTAGAGTATCAGCTATTTCGAAGGAGTTAGTTGATAAGCTATTTCTGAATGTCTTTGGCAATCATTAAACAAATACATCTTAATCTAAATAAATGTTTTCAAAACATAAAAAATATCAGTTCAACATATTTTTAAATAAATTTCTTTTGTATGTTTTCCTGAAAACTTTTTTTAATGTTCTACTTCACCCAAACTTTCTGTCTGTTGGACTAATCATTAGTGAAAACCTTCAAATTATACTTATGTTCTTAAGAATGTACATGAACTTAAAATACTCCACTGAATGATACTCTGTGTCTGCTTGAGAGTGACTTTTACTTCAAATATCACTCTACCTGCAGCCAAGCATCCACTTTCAAATTTTTCCCTATGGTTACGAGTTACTTTTTCATTAAGCTCAAATTCAGCCAGGAATGAGAGCACAATATTGCCAGACTGTAGTTTTCATTCATATAAATATTTTTAAGTATATAGTATACATTTAGAAATGTAAGTATAAATTAGTAAATGTATGAATTTATAAAATATATATTTCCATACATAATGCAATTTTATAAAATATGACATAAGGTAATATAACATGATAAATGTAATATATTTAATATAATATAATAGAAATTAAAATTTTGAGAGTTGTAAGAGTATCATCACAGTTCCGAGTCTTCACCATTTTCCAAACAGCAGGTTAAAAAGATATTCCCAGACAGTAATATATCTGTAAGAGACAAACTTTACATAAAAATTAAAACAATCTAACAAAGAAAACCATACAAATGTCCACTAGTTCTGTTTATTATTTGAAATAATTTAAGTGTAGATGCAATCAGAATGAGTAGTGTTATATCCATAAGCATTACTACTTCTTACAGGATAAGATACTACTTAGTATTACTGAAAATGAGAGGACCAGGTTTCAAGGAACAGAAAGCTAATCACTGAAAAAAATGTAA